GCGACTCATGTTATTAACATGACTCCATCGAAGATTCTTCAAGGAAAGACACCATACGAGGTTCTGTTTGGAAAGAAGCCAGTATATAGCTCATTGAGGGTCTTTGGTTCACTGTGCTATGTTCATAGAAGAGACAGAAATAAAGACAAGTTTAGCCCACGAAGCAGAAAATGTATATTTGTGGGATATCCCTTTGGTAAGAAAGGGTGGCGTGTGTATGACATCGAGACAAATGAGTTTTCTGTCTCTAGAGATGTAGTGTTTAAGGAGGATGTTTTTCCCTATAAAGAAAAGACGATGGCTCACGTGGATGACATGAACTTGACTGGGGGACCTGATGATGATTGGGTCATATGCTATGTTGCAGATACAGAGGACAGGGGGAGTGATCCCATTGATGTAGAAGCAAGTGCAGGAGTGATTAATACGGAGGACAGAGTAATTCAAAATACAGACAAAGCTGCAGAGAGTCAAGAAAATACATCTGCAGAAATTAGTAGTACAGACATTGTTGTTAGTACTGAGGCCGTTGGAAATACAAATGAGAAGCAACCAGAGATCAGTAGTGTGGACATCAGTAGTGTGGATACCCAAGAAGAAGCAAAAGAAACAGAGTTAGGATGAGGACAAAGAGAGAAGATACCGTCTGTAAAATTGCGAGACTATGTGTGTTACAATGCTATATGCGTCAACGACCCCCATCACGATCTCACCAACTCAAATTCAGAGTCCTCGATGACGGTCTCAGGTACGCATTCCACACCATATCCTTTAGTGAACTATGTGTCTGATGATAATTTTTCGCCAGAACACAAAGCTTTTCTAGCTGCAGTTACGAAAGGTGATGCACCAAAGAGCTATAAACAGGCAGTTCAGCATCAAGTTTGGCGTGACTCTATGAAAGACGAGATTGATGCGTTTGAGCTAAACAAAACCTTCAGTATTGTAGATTTGCCACCTGGTAAGGAGGCTATTGGCAACATGTGGCTGTACAAGTATAAGTATGGGGCAGATGGCACGATTCAGAGATACAAGTCCAGACTTGTTGCTCTTGGGAACAAACAAGTAGAAGGAGTAGATTTCACTGAGACATTCGCACCAGTGGCTAAGATGACAACTATTCGAGGATTGTTCCGTGTGATAGCAGGAAAAGGTTGGTTTGTACATCAAATGGATGTGCAAAATGCATTTTTACATGGAGAACTCAAAGAAGAGGTATACATGAAACTCCCACAAGGCTTCACTCACTCTGATCCCAAGAAGGTTTGTAGACTCCACAAAGCTGTCTACGGTTTAAAGCAAGCTCCGAGATGTTGGTATGAGAAGCTGGCTGNTTGTACATCAAATGGATGTGCAAAATGCATTTTTACATGGAGAACTCAAAGAAGAGGTATACATGAAACTCCCACAAGGCTTCACTCACTCTGATCCCAAGAAGGTTTGTAGACTCCACAAAGCTGTCTACGGTTTAAAGCAAGCTCCGAGATGTTGGTATGAGAAGCTGGCTGAGGCACTAACGAAATATGGTTTCAAACATTCCTATGAAGACTACTCGCTGTTTATGTACACAAAAGGGGAAGTTGAGATACGAGTTCTAATATATGTGGATGATCTGCTAGTGTGTGGAAACAACATGGAAATCTTGGTGAAGTTCAAGGAGTATCTTGGAAGATGTTTCCATATGAAGGATTTAGGCAAACTCAAATATTTTTTGGGCATTGAAGTTGGAAGAGGAGCTGAAGGATTTATGATCACACAGAGAAAGTATACTCTGGACCTAATTGCAGAGACTGGTATGCTTGGTGCGAAGCCCTGTGGGACACCGATGGAACAACAACATAAGCTTGGGCGGGACATGAGTCCATTCATTCAACAAGCCAGTCAATATCGAAGGTTAGTAGGGAAGCTGATATACTTGTCAATCACGCGTCCAGACTTGTCGTATCCAGTCCACATTTTAGCGCAATTTATGCAGACGCCTAGAGAGGCTCATTGGGAAGCAGCTCTCAGGGTAGTAAGATACTTGAAAGGAACCGTGGGTCAGGGCATTCTTCTGAGCTCTAATCCAGACCTCAGTTTATCCGTGTTTTGTGATGCAGACTGGTCTTCTTGCCCCACATCCAGACGTTCGTTGAGTGCGTACGTAGCAATGGTAGGAGATTCAGCTATTTCATGGAGGACACAAAAGCAGGACGTTGTTTCACACTCCTCAGCAGAAGCAGAATATAGGTCAATGGCAGAGGCGTCACGAGAGATCAAATGGCTAAGGCGACTGTTGCATGATCTAGGAGCATCTTACAAGGATCCAGTTCGGTTGTACTGTGATAGTAAATCGGCCATATACATTGCCACAAACCCAGTCTTTCATGAGAAAACGAAGCACGTGGAATCTGATTGTCATCAAGTTCGAGATTCAATAAAAGCCGGGTTGATTTCAACAGTACATGTCAAGACTAATGAGCAACTAGCAGATGTTCTAACAAAGGCACTTGGTAGAGTCCAATTTGAGAAGCTGTTACATTGCATGGGAGTTCGAAATTTCCATCTTCCCAAATTGAGGGGGAGTATTGGATAATGATGATGAATATTAGGAATATTAGAGATATACATGAGAAGTATGTTGATAATTATGAGATCCGATAGATAAGGATCTACGTTGTGATTAGAGTTATATATATACTTGTATTCTACATCAATAAGAAACCAAGTTGTTCAGTTATTTACAGTTATTAATGCCGGCTGATTTTGAACCTAAAGGAATTATTTGGTATATAAAAAAAAAATAACTGGTTACTCATTTGTTTACTGGACTCTAGGGTTTACAGTTGGGCCGTAACTTAAGAACTTGTTAGTGTTGTAAAATATTAACCAAATCCTCCGTAGTCCGTATCAACATTATACATAGAAACCAAAAAAAAAGTTAGGGTTTTGTCTGCACCATGAAAAAACAGCAGAATCATGTCTCAAAGGAGGAGAATCTCCAGACTACTTTAACTAAGAACTCAGAGTCAATCCCCACTGATCTCATCACCGAGATATTCTGGAGACTACCAGCAAAATCTATATCAAGGTTTCGTTGCTTGTCCAAGACATGTGCTTCTATTCTATCTCGTCCAGATTTTACCCATCACTTCTTAACAATGTCTTTGACCCGTCCGCGTCTCTTGTTCACCTACCATCGTAACGGAGAGTTGTTCTTCTTCTCGGCACCTCTACCTCGAAATCCAGACCAGGACTTGTCTGTAGTAGTTGATAACCACATGCGTATCCCCGCCAGAACGTCTACAGGCTCTATACATAGATGGCACATCCATCGCCCTGTCCGTGGCTTGCTTTTTTGTATAGAAATGCCAAGTATATGGGGTGCGGCGGTATGTAACCCTAGCACCGGACACTTGGTAACATTACCCGCACCCGCACCAAGAACATCGATTAAGAGAATCTTTTTTGGGTATGATCCAATCAAAAATGAATTTAAGGTATTGTGTTTGTCATATGGTAACTCATATGATCCCATCGAGCATCAAGTTTTGACGTTAGGAACAGAAGCATTGTCTTGGAGAATGATTGAATGTTCCATACACCATCGCACTGATGATTGTGATGGGATATGTATCAATGGAGTTTTGTATTATACAGCTTATCACAACGTGTTTATCGTTGTTTGCTTTGATGTTAGTTCTGAAAAGTTCAAATCTCTTGAAATTGAAGTATCTAGCTCTTTCACTCTGATCAACTACAAGGGTAAATTAGGTGCTATTCAGTTTTGTGCCCGTGAATTTTTCAGTGGGAAAACGGAAAGTCTTGAGTTGATGGTTCTAGATGATGCTGAGAATCATATATGGTCGAAGAATACCTACATAGTGCCGCCTTTGTGGAAGGATCTTGTTGTGGATACACGGTTATACGTTATAGGGATGACTGGTGACGGTGAAATTGTGTTTTCACAATTCGTTAATATGTCTGATTCTTTCTATATTTTCTATTACAACGTGGAGAGAAACACTATCGTGAGAGTTAGGATCGAAGGTATTGAATTTTATAAGTGTCAATACGTTTACACTTTTATAGACCACGTTGAAGATATAAAAAGGATTCTACGTTCTCATCAGCCAAGGTGAAAAAAAAGGTAGTACTTCCTTCAACCCTTTTATAAACACTGATTATTATTTTTTTGATCAAAAACATTGATATTTTGAACAAATATATGTGCTCGTTAAAATTATTTGTCAACTACAGGATTGATTTTCTTTTTCCATGGCCAAGGAAGAGAGTGAGGATAATAAATATAGTATTCATATTGTTGAACTATAAGCTTGATTTGCTTTGGTATTTCTTTATCTTTTTGTTTAGGCAACTTCTGTTTTGTCGACACAGATTTTGAACTCCAAAAATTAAAGATTTTATATATGCTTAGCCTTTTTAGTTAATATTAGCATCATTCTGTAATTTGATATTATAGACACTAAAAAATTTGATGGCTATCTGAAACGTGCTTCCTTGAAATTTTTTCAATTAGTAGAAACAAAAATTTAACTTTTCTAAATGGAAACTTAAACTAATCGAAGTAAATAAATTTGAATATAAAACTCTGAATATAATAGGATCGAACAAATATTGGCGTAGCTACTGGTCAAAGCTTGATTCATGTTGAATGTTCTAATTAATTCGGAAGATGAATTTCGTGTGAGATCAACGAACTACCATTTCTTCAAACCCAAGCACGTAAGTTAAACTCATAAATATTTTAAAAAGGTAGTTTCAGTTTTAGAGACCATTCATTTAGAGAAAAATATCACTGACAGAACTAGGAAAAAAGTTGACAAAAAAAAGTAGGAAAAAAAGATTTCTAGAAAAGAAAACGATCTAGTATAATTGAAAGCGACCAAAAAAAACAAATTTTATTGGTTAACAAATAAACTTCCACAAACATCACTACTGTGTAGTTGAAAACCATTTTGATATCAATTTATCAAAGTTGCCGAAAGATATTGTTGAAGAAAAAATATGAGCATTAAGAAAATGAAACATCTTAAAGTTCGACTCAAAAAAGAAATATCTCAAATAACCAGTTTTAAACCCCAAAGTAGCAAATAAAAACAAAACAAACAAGTATTAAAAGCTAGGATTCAGAAACAAATACAGTTTTGCGCTTATAATAAAACATCAAGTTCATCTCATTCGATCTTTCCTGCATGACAACTTTCGCAATCACTCAGTGCCTTCCTGAACCTGAGAAGAGAGACAGATTCGTAACATGCTTCAGATTAATCTCTGTTTGGCTTTATGTCCATAACTTAAAGGAATCTTTTCCAAACTATTCTAAAACTGCAACTTATTTGTATTACCTTGGTTGGAGATTTTGAAGGAGACATGGACCTAGGGGGGCTCTTCTTCCTGTCAGGAGATGGCGATCTAGATTTTGATATCGATCTGGAAAGAGAACGTCTTGGTGATTTACTGCAACAAACAATTCATAAGCATCAAGACTCCATTTTAACCTTGTTCAAAACGGGAGATGTACAAAAAGGTTTTACTGTAAGCAAACACACCTCAGATCCTTTCTTGGGCTCTTGCTTCTGCTAATGCTCCTGCTACGGCTGCGACCACGGCCTCTGCTACGGCTTCTGCTTCTGCTTCTGCTTGGGCTTCTTGACTGGGAGCTTTCATATTTCTTAACCTGCACATAGTAAGAACCAAAACACACAGTTCAAGGAAGGCAAAAGCATATAAAGGTAGAGGATGATAAGACTGTAAGGAGTAACCATACCCGAATATAGCCTCTAGCCCAGGGGTTTTTGAACTCTGTATCATCAAGTTTCCTTATCTGAACAAGAAATATCGGAAACTAAACAACTCATAGCTTTTGATATAGAGCAAGAGAGAGAAGAACAGAGTGGGAAACTCACAGCATACTTCATGTCATCATAGTTGGTGTAGTCAACAACACCATAAGCTCCTGAATCATATTATTTATTAAGGATAAGTCATAAGCATTAACTATAACCCAAACTAAAAAAGGTACGAAACTGCTAAGACAGTATGCCATTTTAATTGAGCATATAAGAAAGTGTAAGCAAACGCACCATCACGGTCTCTAGTGACCTCAGCAAAGCACACATCACCAGCCTTCCTCATATGATCCTGAAATGATTGTTTTTAATACTTACAAAAAGGAAACTAGAAAGTAGACACCAAAACGTTGCAGCAAAAGCATAGAGTATCATCATACCTTCAAATCTTGCCATGAAGCCGATGATGGAAGCCCACGTACAATAACTGCATATAGCCATCCAAGAATACATAGAAACTTCAGCCACAATTTAACCAGTACCAAATTTCACAGAGAAAAGTACACAAACCTCGGAATTCAGAGTGTCGTGAGACGCCAAACCGAGCAGATCCTCCACCACCACCACCACCGCCACCACCTCCACGGTAGCTACCCCCACCACCATATCCACCACGACGGTCACCTGAAGACTGTCCTCGACCACCATGGGAAAGCTCAACCTACATTCGTAATGAGTAGAAACAGCTGAGAACAAACATGTGAAGTACAAACTAATCTTGTCTAAGCTAAGCAAGTAATGAATGTTTTATTACCCTCAAGCGGCAGCCATCAAAGTTATAGCCATCACGGCCATCAACAGCGTCTTTGGCGTCCCGGGGATGCTCAAACTACACAGAGATTGGTTTAAGTAAAACTAAATCTTGTAAAATTTGGTTAAGACCATGTGATATAAGACAACGGAGCGTACCTCAATAAAGCAATAGCAAGGAGGACGAGGTGGAACCTTCAATTCAATATCAACAATGCGGCCATACTGCAATTGAGATAAAACCATTGAAATATAATCTTAGAACAGTTGGGGATGTCATACAAAACCAACTGAATCAAAAAAGGTAGTGAGAACTCACCTTGTAAAAGAGATCTTCAATCTCAGACTCCCTAATGTCACCAGGCAAGTTACCAACATAGATAGACCGGGAAGATCGATCACTCATTGTCTCCAAAGGTTGTTGAAACAGATAACTGCAGATACGGATAAAAGGAAACAAATAAATAAAAGGACCATAATTTATTGCTATAGACAAAGAATCTCCACTCAGACAGCAAACCAAGTGAAAGCAATCCTCAGTAAGAGCAGTGCTCCACAAGCTCCAAAATGCTTATTTGCTCCAATATGCTCCAAAAGCTATTATTAAAATTTGAAATCTAACTTTTCTCCAGATATTCCCATGGTTATATCGTAAACTTGTCCAAAGCGAGCAAGAATCTCCAGTTATAATTAAAAAACATATAAGAAACAACTCCACAATGATCTCCCATTCCCTCTCTATATCCCTATGAACCATTGCAATGCTCATGTTCCAAGCGCTTGCCATCTATCATCAAGAAAACATGTATCATGACATCGTGTAACAAAGACTCATGCATCTACCTTGTTCAGCTTCCTTACTCAATACATTATTCCTTTCAAACATAATACAACACTCTTTTCACAGCACAGACAGCAGACCATGCATCTTTCAAATATTTTACTTTATAACATAAAGTTAAACTCTTTCAATGTCAAATGTCAATTATCGAATCTACCAAATCGATATAGCTATCTAGGAGACATTAAATCCTCACAATTTTCACAGTTCATGAAAAAAATTACTGAGAGCAACAGTATCTCAACTAAAACAATACCGAAACCGTTTTAACAAAAAGATGGAAACTTTACGATTCAGAGTCCATCATAAGGAAGACCCATCAATTGAATTAACAAAAAAAAGTATTCCCACGACACAACACTATCGGATTCAGAATAAACCCTAACGGTTACAGAAAACACAACTAGCGAGAGAGAGAGAGAGGGGAGATTGCCGCGAGACAACACTATGTGAACGACGTCGTACCAGGAATAAGCAGCACCGGAGAAGGTTAAGGAGAGCCGATGTGACTCTGAATCGAAGATTTGGTGGCCGTGAAAGTTTCTCTAGGGTTTGTGCTTCCTTTTATCCATGGACTTATGTGAAGTACCGGAATTACCCTTAGGTGTTCCTTCAAGTCTTTCGTTTTTTACTTTTCGGTCCCTGTTTCGGAAATTTGTTTACCAAATTAACTCCTAAGTTATATAACTATCAAATAATCCCATTTCTGAGAGAGAGAACACTACTCCCTCCATTTCGAATTAATTGTCATTTTAGAGAAAAAATTTCATTTCAAAATAAGTGTCGTTTTAGAGTTTCAAGGCAAAATTTATTAGTTTTATATGAATATATTTTTGTATTGGTTGAAAAATGGTTAGGTGTATAGGTAATTATGTTTTTATCTTCAAAATATGTAAAATTAAAAGTTTCTTTAATCTGTGTGCAAAAACTTAGAATAATAATTAAAATGAAACGGAGGGAGTTGTAAAGACCAAAAAGAATGTTTATTTCTTGTGTAATGGTTACAATGAGTTTTTTTTTTTTTGTGGAAACAACAATTAATTTCTGTAATAGAGAATCTTAGATTTCAAAACTGAGATATAGTAGTAACTTAAAATTACTTTTAAATGGAAAAGCAAAAAAAAAAAAAAAAAAATTGTAGCTTTGTGTTGGAACTTTCAAGCAAGGTGAACTCAAAAGACTAGGAGACCTTGTGAAGTCATTTCTGGAAGAAGATTCATTAGAACAAAGCCTACTTTACCTGAAACATCCCAAAAAGAAACAACAAATTAGTGACAACTTTACCAATTACAAGATCAAATCAGCAAATTAATTATTTACTACAACTTTCAACACCAAAATGCATAAGATGATTAAGTTTTATGAACAAAGAGAAGAAACATTACCAGTGGTGTGAACTGATATTCACTCATCATCATCATCTTCTTCTTCTTCCTCATCATTATCATCAATAGGATACAAACCCTCATCAGATTCTTCCTCGTATATCTGAAACTCTCCATCATCAACAGCAAAGTCTCCATACAAACCAGGTTCACTCGTTGGAAAGCTATCAAACAAGCCTTGAAGATACGTTCTTGAGCTGTTCTCAGTTTCAAGATCTTTTAAATAATATAGGAAAATCAAAAGAACCAAAAAAAGGTGTGAACCAAAAGCAGAGAGTCAAAAATCCCAAAACTAAAAGAAGGGCTAAACTGTGAAGGATACATCCATGGGAATCAATAGATATCTCATTGTCTCCTGTAGGCTGCAATAAGAAGGCAGAAGAGGAACATAGAAACAGTGAATCCTCTCAGATGAAGCAAAACAACATAATTGCTTTTTACAGTATATATATTACCACATAGACCTCTTCTTCTTCTTCCTCCTCGTCTTCTTCATCCACATCTTCATCATCTCCATACTCATTAACAATAACATCAGCATCATCTTTTGTGCTTTTACACTTTTCCATGTCTTCAGAGCCTGCAGATCAAAGTTTTTGATGAACTTATAAATGCTTTCTACAAACACAAAAGCGTGAGGGTCTAACACAGCAGGGAATACACTCGCAAAGCACTCACTGGACTTTTTAAAACGTTAAAAGAGATGAAACACACAATTTTGTTGATGATTTTTACCTTTAGTAGTTGGCTCCTTGTGCTTCACTAGAGATGGTTTATGTGTCTCTTTATAGGTTTGAATTTTTTCTGACCTCTCAAACTCTTCTTGAATGGATTTAAATACATCTTCGAAGCCGTCTGGCTCTGGAAACACAGACACGAACCTCACAGCCACACGGAGTCTCAAAGTATCTAGCATGGCTTCTGAGAACCATCCTGTTTTATGCTGCAAAACAAAACAAAAAGAACGGATCCGATCACATAATTTAAGGACTCATGGGTATTCAATCTATGAACAAAAGTTAAGATGAGAACTCACGGTACAAGTAGTCTGCTTGGGAGGCTTTCTTATCTCTCGCTGGATGTACTCGTCCTCAAGTTCAAATAACTGCAGAAATGTTTGGCATTTGAAAGGAAATACCTTAAAAGCACAAATGTCGTTCCACCTTGGCTTTGATCTGTACCACAGAAAAAAAGAAAAATCATATAATCAGACACTTCTTTCTGCATAAATCTAATAGCTAAGTTGCAAATATTTCAACCACTCATGCTAAATATATGATACAATCATACAACAACTATTCATTATCTGAACCACGGCTAATAGAGAGTATTCAGGCTTGGATCTTTTCAGAAAGAGAATAATACTTACTTGTTAGTTGCATTGGCATCACAATAACTTCGTAACTCAGGAGGAACCCTAAATTCCATTCTCTGATATCTGAAAGTAAAAAAAATTATAACAATGTCAATCACTACACCAAACAAATTTCATGAACCATACAATGACAATATTTATAGAACTCACACACGAGACTCAGGATCGTTCCGTGGATCATAGCCTCTTTTAATCCAGAACCTAAGAAACGGACCATTGGAGAAATAATACGCAGCCCTGAGCAGATACCTACAGAGAACCATAATACTAAGAACAACTCAGCATAAGAAACCTGTATTGAAGAAAAGGTGTATCACCTGTTTAACATATGATGTGTGCATTTGAGACCTTTATCAAGCAATCGTTGAACAACAGAATCTCTTGTCCAAATAGGCCGCTCTTCAAACAATGCAGCCAATGATACCTGCCATTGCCAGTGGTGCGATCTGGGGGATACAAATTCTTCCCAGTTTAGATTCTTTGGGATATGTTTGATAGTTAAGGAAAAGAACCAAACAAACACATGTCTTTTTTTTATGAGAAAATGTCAAGTACGAACTGGAACAGATAAAGAAAAAGGATATCTTTGACGCTAAAATCAATTGCAAATACTTGGCCAATATCCATCTGCATTGTAAAAAGAAAACAGCATGAGATAGATCAATTAGAAAATTGAGAAGTAGAAGCTGAAAATATACTGTAAGTAAGCTGCCATGGCTTCTTAACAACCCAAAAACGAACAAGACAACTAAACAAGTCCCATGCTGATGGTTCATAAGAGTGAAACTGAGAGTTTTTACTACAGCAATTGGAGGATTTTGTTTTTTGAAGGCCCCAAAAACTTCACCGTTACAGTAAATCAAGAATCTAAACCAGACATTAAGTTACAGATATAGTGGTTTGTAATATCAATGACGATTAGATTGTTAGCCATTATATTTGTTCCAAACAGGATGCGTAAAGTATATCTAGAAAACTTGGATGTTTTCATTTTCTATTTCTTTACCTCATAAAAGTTCTGAGTCGCCGCATCATCTTTCTTTTTGGGGCCAGATGTTGCCGGAGGTTTCAACCTGTTAACGACACACGAAAACTGAAATCAGCACTAATAATTGAAGTCACTACAATCACCTAAGTTGAAAGAGAGAGAGAGAAACAGAAAGTAATCTTACGCCACGTTGTCAGGTATATCTTTGGGTGCAAAGACCTGTGGCAATAACATCATTACCTCTTCATCAGAAAAGCTCATCAAATCACTGTCTCCTGCACATATCATATATATAGTTTAGGCGATCAAATGAAAATCTACAAACAAATGACAATATAATAAATCCAGGTGAAGCACCTGCGAGGGGATCCACATCCATCAACTTTCTCTTTTTATGCTGTGCCGCGTGAATAGGAATAACATGCTGATAGTCAGCCATGCCTACACAATGAGTGAGACTGAGATAACTTAGAAACTCTTTAAATGAGAAAATATAATATAAAAGACATGTTCCAGATGCACAAGAGGAGAGCTAGACTCTTACCATCGAAGTGAAACGCATCGGAAACACGAGAAACAATATCTGCACAGAGAGCTGGACCAGCTTCCTCCAAACACACATCACTCGTGGCAAGAACTGTAGGTTGAGTTTCAGGTTTCTTGATATCTTGCTTAGAAATTTTCAACAAAAAACCGCTGCAAGGACGTTGTTCTCCAAATGCAGGATGTGCATAAGGATCCTCTGGCCGGAAACGCAGCTCAAGCTTGTTTGAAATTGATCCTCTTGCCTACCCAAAAGAAGACACTTTAACACAAACTCATAAATGTACAAATCATACCCCCAAAGAAAAAGCTGAAATATTGTGTTGGTTAGAGCTATATAATACATATACCATGACAATATCAGCATAAAGACTACAGAATCACTGTAATAACTAGCATACAAACACAGTTTTCAGCTCTCAAGGAAAAACTTGGAGATTTACTAACCAATTTAACACTAACCAACTCATAAATGTACGAAATATACCAAAAATAATCTGAAATATAGTGTTGGTTAGAGCTATATGGGTACACATATGACATGACTATATCAGTAAATAGACTACTTAATCACTGTAATAAGAGAATACAGCATAAATTAAGAGTTTTTGAAGTAAAAAAAATAGAGATTTTACTTCTGTAATGCCTTGAATGCCTCCAAGGGTTTCAATAGCTTTGGGAATAGAAGATGGGTATCCAGGGAAGTGGACTACAAAGGCCTCCTTGCTTGGCAAGGTACCTGAGACTGTTCCTTGCTCTATGATTCCCATTGTTTCTTTCCCCTCTCTACTGTAAGTTACAAGAAACAAAGAGATAAGCTTAATAGCGTGTCTAGCCAATACAACATGATAAGGGACAATAAGTTGTGTGTTTATATTCCAATTTGTTTCCACTTTATATGTGATTCATTGTGTTTCCTTTGCCTCCGAAATTGATTGCTAAATTAAGTTTTGTAATTTGGAGATTCGGTCTTACCGGACATATAAAAAAAACACAGGAGTGGTAGAAGATTGCTTCAAGTTGTTGTGTTTCCCGACATCGGCGACGGCGAATATTTCTCGCTGCTTCAAAAACCCTTTACTGTTTATGAGAAACTAATTAAAGCCCATAATACAGTACTCCTTCTGTTTTTTTTTAATTTTTTTTTATAAAATGTTTTAGAAAGTTTATGTTATTTCCAAATATAAACTGTTTCAAAGATAACTTTAATTTTATTGGAATTTATTCAACCAATAAAAAAAAAATTTATAATTGTTGAATAATTTTAAAAATATATCATTAAAAATATTTTTAAAAAGAAAATAAATATCTTAATCTCCGTGCAATCAACCAAAACACCTTATAAAAAAAATATGGAGTGCGTATATGATAAACTTCGGGGTCACTGCTATTCGAACTCGGCTCTCCATATTATCTCGCGGCTTCATATCCCTTTAACGACAAAATTTGTTTTGGGCTTAGCCCACTACTAGTAGATAAATTTAACTTCTTTGGGTTAGTTCAGCCCAAAACTACACGACATCGTTTAAGCAGATATAAATGTTCTCTGCGCCACGAGGGAGGACGTTGACTTTTATATAGTAACAAATATCTCGAATTTAATTTTTTTTTTTAAATAAATATTTAGGATCTGATCTGCGCCACCGGCGATTCGAACTAGGGTTTCCGTATCAAAAACCGCTCGTGTCGTCGTCGTCCTCTGAAAGCTAAAGTCTTTTTTATTTTCCCTCCAAAAATCAGCTGATTCTCCAACCAGAACTGTCTCCAACGGAATCTGGAGGATGGCGTCGAGGTTCCAGGAAGCTTCACTAGTTACTTCGCCATCGTACCCTAACGCCGTCGCTTGGTCGCCTGAAAATCTGATCGCCGTCGCCGCTGGTCACCTCGTCATCATCCTCGTCAGTTTCGTTCATCTTTCGTGTTTTTTTTAGAAAGGTTTCGACTTTAAGTCTCTTTGACAGGAATTAATTGTAATTGTGTCAGAATCCGGCATTGCCAGGTGGACCTCGAGGGTTGATCTCATTCCCTAACGCTGAGCCTTATCAGATTGGGAAGGTTCGCTATGAAGGTTTGTTTCTTTCATTGATCCTTGTCAAGTAACATAGACTCTACTCAATTGCTCAGTTTTCAAAATTATGCCTTTATTAAGTTTTTATGAAGATTCTGCATTTTTATTAAAAATGCGAACTTTTTTAAAGTGAAGGATGTTGTGGTTGTAGATTTGCTTACTGGTGGACTGTTGCCTTCGAGTTTGAAGAGGGAAAGGCATCCTTGTGTTCGGTCTCTCTCTTGGTCTGATTTAGGGATGTCTGAAAACTACGGGTACTATTATGCATGTTTCATATAAATAGATTATCTTAACAACACTGTTCATTCTTTTTTCTCTGGTTTGATGTTACGAATTACTCTGCTTCTCAGGTGCTTCTTGGCTGTTTGTTCAGCAGAAGGAAGGGTTAAGCTATACCGACCTCCCTTTTCTGATTTCTCTGCTGAGTGGGTTGAGGTAAAAGAAAAAATCATCACTTTTTTTTTGTTTACTTTTGTGGGGTTTGTAACTTACTTATGCGTTACTGTTGCTTTCTCTCAGATTGTTGATGTGTCTGATTTGCTTTATGAGAATCTATTAAGCATGAACTTTGGAGAGTCTAATAACAATCCTTCTACCTCAGTATCTAAGGTAACTTGTATCTTCTTAACTAACCACTTTTCAGTAAAAGGTTTTATTATCATGAGATGCCATACAATTTATTTCTTTCCACAGACTGTGTTTGTGGTTCTATTAGGGATGTGTAGATGGTTTTGTAATGCGTACTCGTACATGTAGATAAGGACTCATCTTAACAAATCGTCAGTGTTATGTATGATCTGTTATTTGATGCAGTTGTTATTATATGTCTCGATTTTTGTCATTAACTGGTCATGCGTAATATTTTGATCAAATAAACCATATCATTGCATTGATCTCTGTTCTTTGTTTTTTACAGGAACAAGTGGTACAACATGACCAAGAAGAAGATATAAGGATTCCAATTCTCAGGACACGTAAGCGAAGAAGAACGAGCGTAGACAAGTAAGAAACATTTTTCTCTTTTCAATTCTTATTTTTGCTTACTACATTCGTTTGAGAGAGAATTTTTCACTGCTTTGATCACTTTACTAACTTGCTTGCATCTGTGACTACATCTAGAAACTTGCATGAAATGGATACTACAGATCAAGCATCATGTTCCAAGCAAGATAGTCAAACGGTGAATAATGTACTGCTTCGTTTCTCTTCACGAACTTCTTTTCTATTCTTGTTTATTCCCTTCCTCTTGACTTATTTTTGTTACTCTAGTTTTGTTATTTTCTAAAATAAGTTTTAGATTCAAACTCTGTTCCTGCAAATTTGATCTTTATCGTTTGCTTTTGTGGAACTCTTTTTGGTAGTATTAATAGGATTTAAGGTCATTTCATCAAGGAAATTAATATCTTGAGCATATTATATATCTCTATCTAGTATCGTTTTCAGTATAATATGGGTCTTGGTTTATATTGTTTCTTTATTGATTTGATGCATTTCAACTTTTCACACCACATGGTTCTTAATGTTTTGACACTCTCACTCTTAAGTGTCATTTAGTCAGAATCAGATCGCCTCATTGTACTCATATCTAAATTGATTCATTGTGTTGTTACCAGGTACTTGCGATTGAATTGTATGAACAACCAAGCAATCACTCTTTGCCTAAAGCTCCAAAGAAGTGCACTCGAGAAATAAGTCCCGAGAAGTATGTTTCTCGTGAGGCATTATTATCCTCTCTTTCCGTCGCCTGGTCCTCTCTACTAACATTTCCAACAGAAGGTTCTCCTTTTGAGAATCTGTTAAGATTCTCTCTTTTGGCAATTGGTTCAAAGTCCGGTTGTGTTTCCATATGGAAAGTTCATGCACCAGAATGCTATAACATTGAGCGCTGCAATGTATCTCCCAACGTGGAACTTACGGCTATTATTCAAGCCCATAGCTCATGGGTTTCAACGATGAGTTGGGGAGTTATTGGCCGCGATTCTTCGAATCCGCAAATCGTGTTGGTTACTGGGAGTTGCGATGGTAGGTAAGTTAGAGTTGCATTACAAGAAAAAAAATTGAATTTGTAAACCATTACAAAAGATGCTGTCAGTGATTGAATAAGTTTAGAAGTTCTTTGAAACTCTCACTCTGGACATAACTATTTTAATGTATATTCATTTGCATATGTTTCTCAATGCAAACCCTGGTTATAACATTTTCTTTCCACAACATTTGTAGTGTGAAGATTTGGATGAGCAACCAAGAAGACTTGCAAAAATCTGTTGAGGTTTACACATCTTCATTTTCTCTGTTAAAAGAGGTAACGTTTTTTATTTCTTCTCAGTGTTTTCTACTTTGTCTTATACTCTGCTTAGGAACAGATTGGGTATGGCGTGTTGTGATTGCTGAGTTTTCTGTAGCTAAAGTTGGTTTCATATTCCTATATTTCTCAATAAATCGTTGTGTTTTTTGAACCACCCAATATTTTTATCCATTTCCTTGTTTATAGAACGACAGGCTCCGATCTCTTATATTTGCCATTTATTTAAATGTACAAGACTTCTTCATCAAGTGGACAATAAGAGTTTTATGTTTTGCCATTTTCCGGCTTTTTATAGGTTGTAGCGGTGAACCTTGTTCCGGTTTCAACGCTTTCATTTGTTGTGAACAATTATTCCAGTGCAATGCACTTGGCAATCGGCAAAGGATCTGGTTCCTTTGAAGTATGGAAGTGTGAAATATCTACCAGAAAGTTTGAACAAATTGCTTCAACTAATGCTCATGACCAAGTGGTAACAACTCTTTATTCTTTTGCTATAAACCTTTTATTAAATGCAATATATGGGAACGATTTATTGATATATAATGTCAATATCTTTTAGGTTACGGGTTTAGCTTGGTCATATGATGGCCGTTGTTTGTACAGTTGCAGTCAGGTACAATCTTTTTTCTCTGTAAGCCAGCTATGATATTGATTGTTTTCTATGTGACAAACAATAGTGAACTGCATTATCTCCTTTAAAAACTTTCAGGATAATTATGTCCGGAACTGGATCTTATCTGAGAATACCATCTCTGAAGTGCCAATTCCTGCAAACATTCCTGGTCTTAGTAGCACAAGTGATGTACGTCACTATGTTTTGGTTTAAATCGTGCCTCTTTGTTTCTCTCTTCTTCTGATTTATCTTTACAAACAAATGAAAAAAACAATCTGCAGCTTCCTGATGACTTCTTGTCATGTCTTGGTGTTGCATTGTCCCCTGGAAACCTTGCTGTTGCTTTGGTATGATCCTCCAAGGACTTGTTTGTTGTGACTGTAATCTATCAAGTTTTTTTCAGAACTAGATAGCTAAGACTTGTCTAGAATGTTTGCAGGTCCGCAGCTTTAATGTTGAACTCTTGAATCCGATGTACCAAGCCAGGTGATGGTCAATAAGAAACGTTTACGTCTCTTGCTCATTGCAAAACTTGACCGTTTATTTCTGTTTGCTTTCCAGGTCGCAGAAGGCTGCTGTAGAGTTCATATGGAATGGCGCACAGCAATCCGGTGAGTCTGATGATTCTTCAGAGACGATAACAGAAGCTATTCTGGGATTCTCCAAGAACGAATACGCATACTGGGAATCTAATTTACTCTGGTCGTTGAATGAGTTCAAAGATTATAGTAAGCCTCTAGTTCTGTGGGATATGATAGCAGCAATGTTGGCATTCAAACAATCA